GGCCTTCCTGAGGCTGAGAGAGTGTGACTTAGAAACCACTGGGTTTCCAGGGAGAAACTGGGATTCGGTTTAGAGTCCAATAACCCAACTACTACACTATGGTGGCCTTCATATGGATAATATGCCTAATATCATACCTTGGTGAAATAGATCTCTTATTAGATCTATTAGATCTAAATAATTCTGTTAATTAATTAATAATTAATTCTATTAATTTTTATTAGATCTAATTAATACTAATAATTAATTCTATTAATTCTAATAGAGATCTCTATTAGATCTCTTATTCCTCTCCTTCTCTCTAGAACTCTCTCTCTCTCTCTATATATATATATATATATATAGAGAGAGAGAGAGATCTATATATACACACATACCAGATATATACACACATATATAGATAGAGTGATATATTTATTTATGCACACACAGAGAGAAAATTTATACTTACTAATATATATAGAGAGAGATATCTATAGATACACATACACACATATATCCTCCTTTTCTATATATAGACTATATACATACATATATATAACATACCAGATACACACACACACACATATATATAGAGTGATATATTTATTTATGCATACACAGAGAGAAAATATTATACATACACATATATATAGAGAGAGATATCTATAGATACACATACACACATATATATCCTCCTTTTCTATATATAGACTATATACATACATATATATGCACACATACATATATAGATATATAGACAGACATTCACACATATATATATAAAGAGAGAAAAATTTCTATATTTATACACACAGATATCTATATATACACATACACAGATATATATCTCCTCCCTCTCTCTCTCTCTCTCTATATATATATATATATACACACACACACACACACACACATATATCCCTCCTCTCTATAGATAGACGATATATATACAGTATATACATGCACATATATAGATATATACAGACATTCACACATATATAAAGAGACATTTATATATTTATATACATACAGAGATATCTATATATATACATACACAGATATATATCTCCTCTCTCTCTCTCTCTCTCTATATATATATATATATATATACACACACACATATATATATCCCCCTTCTCTCTATAGATGGACAATATATATATACATGCACATATGCACATACATATATCCAGATACACTCACAAATATACATATATTTACAAATATATACATATATCCAGATATACATGAAGTATAAGACATTAATCCTCTACTCTATATGTTATGTGTATGTGTATAATATGCAACATATATAAGGCACAAGAGAAAATGTGTCCTGTATATATACTCTGTATATTATGCATATGACTAATAGGTAACATATAGGTGTATACTGTATGTGTATAATATGCATAGAATATTATATGTCTGTGTGTGTTTCCATTATATACACACCATAATATTTATATCCCTCTTTACTTATTATTATTATTGTGTTTTTATTATCATGCCTGAGGAAAATATAAATAGACGTGTACAATGTACATATAGAATATGCCTCAGATGCATTTTTATGACCATGCCAGGAGGAAATGTATACCATATGCATATAATGTACATAAAGTGACATGCATTACATGCCTGGGTGTGTGTCAATATGCAAAGGGAAAATAAATAATAGATAGAGGTGGATATAATACATATCATGAGCATATGTAACCTGTACATTATCCTGCAAGACTTCTATAATATGGAATGAAAGACTGGGACTAAGAGAAGAGGCAAAGGACTTTCTGTGGTGTGTTACACACAGCTCACAACAACTTAATTACACACATAACCAATGCCTATCTATCAGTATCTGTCATCACTCTATCTATAATAGATAGATAAAAGCCCCTTCTGCAGTGCCACACACAATCCGGATTATCTGCTTTGAACCAGATTATATAGCAGTGTAGACTCAGATAATCCGGTTCAGTTTGGGAAGTTTAATAAACTTTTCTCATGTTGTTTATAATAGAAATTAGGAAATGACTATTCTAACCCAGCAACAAAAATCATAGTGATACATAGTGTTGTTTGTTGTAGTTGTTGCAAAATTATAACCTAGGGACAAAAATCATAGTGATGCATGTTGCTGTTGTTGTGGTTGTGGTTTCCCCATTGATTTCCTTCTTTCGACCTTCTTGGAGGGCTTCCCTCTCTCCCAAACAGTCCCCCTCCCACCCCGAAGCAAAGTAGCAATTGAAGAAGAGAACACGCGGGTTGGGCGCGTCCTCACGTGCCAGGTAACGCGTGTCAATGCCCCCGACTTACCCGCGGCGCCTGGGCTGCTCTGTTTGGGTCCGGCTCGGAGCTCGGGTGGTGAGGCTCCACCAAAGCGCCTCTTAAAGCGGCGATGTCGCCCAGACTTCCCCTTTAAATCATGCACATCCATTCCCCTTTAATTCTGCTTCTCGGGGTCCAATTTCCCCCCCGGTTTGGGGGCAAAGAAAGGGTCCGGACCCTCCTGAAGGCGGCTTCTAAGGCCGAGGCTTGTTTGGGGTCGCCTTATGGGCCCCACTCCATTGGAAAGAGCCTTGCTGAGAGTTTTCCGGGCTGTTTTCCGTCTCTTTGCTCCCTCCCTCTCTTTTCCTGGATCTCAATGGGAAAAGGGGGGGGGGGAGGCACTGCAATTGGGGTGGGGTGGGATTCGGAGCAGGATTCGGATTGGAAGAAAGGAAACGGGAGGAAGAGAAGCCCCGGCTTGACTCCTTTCTTCTCTGCCTCCCCCTTTCTTCCCTTTTTGGACCCCTCCAAAATGAATAGTTCCCCCTCCCTGAATCCAAAGTGTTTTTCTACCCCCTCCATAAAACACACCCAGCCCTGTTTACACGGGAGTAAACACGCCTCCACTGAGTTGACTCGCGTGTCAACAACTGAATTGGGAAGCCCTCTCCCCACTCTTAAGAGTTTTCTTCTTCTTCTGACCCAGACACGTGTCAAGGATTGGGGCAAAGTCCCGTCTCCCATCCTCCCTGTGCCCCTCGTCCCATCATTGAGTCCCACCGCAAATGAAAAGCTGACACGGTTGGCTTTTCTACACTGGTGGGAGGAATCCACGAGAACCTTCTCACGTGCGCAGAAGACCCGTGTCTCCAGGTGGGAGACACGGGTCCATAGAAACGGACGAGGCGGAAGTTCAAGTGTCTCTGGCAAGGGGTCTTACTCTGAAAGCACTTTCTTGAAGTTGGTTATGGGCCCAGTTTACATCCTGAGAGAGGAGAGAGAGAAGGTGAGAGGAAGAGAGAAGGAGAAAGAGAAGAAGAGAAAAGAGGGGCAAAGAAAGAAAAAGAAAGGGGAGAGAAGGAGAAAGCAAAAGAGAGAGAGGAGAGAAGGGGAGAGAAGAAAAGCAGAGAGAAATAAAGAGGAGAGAGGAGGAAAGAAAGAGGGAGAAGGCGAATGGGGACAGGAAGAAAGAGAAGAAGAGAAAGAAATAGAAGGGGAGAAAGAAAGAAAGAAAGAAAGAAAGAAAGAAAGAAAGAAAGAAGAAAGGAAAGAAAAGAAAAGAAAAGGAAAGAAAGAAAGAAGAAAGAAAGAAAGAAATAAAGAAAGAAAGAAAGGGAGAGGAGTAGAGAAAGAGAAGGAAAAGGCTAAGGAGTGAAAGAGGGAAAGAGGGGAGAGGAAGAAAGACAAGGAGAGAAAGAAAAAAGAGGGACAAAGAAAAGTAGCGATAGAGAGAAAAAAGGGAGAGAAGAAGAGAAAGACAGAGAGCAATAGAGGGGGAGAGAGAAAAAAGAGAAGGAGAGAGGAGTAGTGAAAGAGGGGGGGCGAGAAGGAGAGAAAGAAATAGAAGGGGGAGAGAAAGAGAAGCAGAAAGAGGAGTGGAGAAGCGAAGGAGAGAGAGAGAGAAAGAAAGAAAGGCAAAGAAAGAAGAGAGCAGGAGAGAAAGAAATAGAGGGAGAAGGAGAGAGAGGGGTAAAGGCGAGAGAGGAGAGAAAGAAAGAGAGAAAGAGGGGCAAAGAAAGCAGCGACAGAGAGAAGGAGAGAAAGGGGGAAATAAGAGAGGGAGAGAAAGGGGGAGAGAAGGAGAGAAAGAAATAGAGAAGGCGATAAAGAAATAGAGGGAGAGAAGGAGAGAAAGAAGCGAAGGAGAAAGAGGAGAGAAAGAAGGGCAAAGAAGTAGAAAGGGAGAAAGGGGAAAGAAGAAGAGGAGAGAAAGAAATAAAGGGAGATAGAGGGGAGACGAGAGAGGAGAGAAAGAGGGGCAAAGAAAGAAGCAGCGACAGAGAGTAGGAGAGAAAGAAGGGAGAGGAGAGAAGGAGAAAAAGGGGGAGAGAAGAGAAGGAGAAAAAGGAGAATAGAGAAGGAGAGAAAGAGGGGAGAGGAGAGGAGAGAAAGGAGGGAGAGGAGAGAAGGAGAGAAAGAAATAGAGGGGCAGAGACAGAAGGGAAGGCGAAAGAGGAGAGACAGAAAGAGAAAGAGGGGCAAAGAAAGAAGTAGCGAAAGAGAGAAAGGGGAAAGAAGAAGAGAAGGAGAGAAAGAAATAGAGGAGACGAGAGAGGAGAGAAAGAGGGGCAAAGAAAGAAGCAGCGACAGAGAGGAGAGGAAGAGGGGAGAGAAGAAGAGGAGAGAAAGAGAGGGAGAGAGAGAAGGAAAGAGATGCGAAGGCGAGAGAGGAGAGAAAGAAAGAGGGGCAAAGAAAGAAGTAGCGATAGAGGGAAGGAGAGAAAGAGGGGAGAGAAGAAGAGAAAGCAATATGGGGGAGAGAAGGGGGGAGAGCCAAAGAGGCGGAGGAGGAGGGCTCCGGAGGCCTTGTCTCCCTGGCTGGTTAATATTTTATCCTGTTGACATGTTTTCTTTCTGGCGGTGCTTCCGACACCTTCCTTTCTTCCTTCCTTGCTTCTTTCTTTCTTTCCTTCCCCCTTTCCTCTCTGCTCCTCCCCCCTCTCGTCCAAACCCCGCCCCTGGGGGGCTCGGCAACCGGCCCTCCCCTTACCGAGGGGGCTTGGCAAGGGAAGGGAAGGGGGGGAGAAGGAGGAGAGGGAGGGGGAGAAAGAGGGAGGGAAAGAGGGAAGGCAGGCGGAGAGCAAGCGAAAGGAGGAGAGAAAGAGAGAGGAGAGAGAGAGAGGAGGAGAAGGCGCCTCGGAGGGAAGAGAGGGAGGAGGAGGAGGAGGAGGAGGAGGAGAGCCTGGGACGCCCGGACGAAGAAAGGGGGAGAGAGAGGGAGAGAGGGAGAGAAAGAGAGAGAGGGACCCCCAACCCTGACCCACCTCTTCGTCTCGGGAAGGGATGAAGCCGCTTCGGGACCCGCTTCGGATCTCTCTGGAGCCTTGAATCCGGGTTAGTTTCGATTCGGAGACAGAGAAGGAAGGAAAGAAGGAAGGAAGGAAGGAAGGAGGGAGAGAGAGAGAGAGCCTCGCTTTGGGGGGAAACGCACCCCAAAGGGGGGCAGCCAACGACACCTTGAAGAGGATCCGATCCAGAGGAAAGGGCTGCTTCTTTCCCCGCGTATTGGTCGCCCCCTTTTGTCGCTTTTCCCCGGAGGAGGAGGTGAGGCGCGTGGATGGGTGCCCACTCGTAAGCCCGGCGGATGCCCTGATGCGAGACCCGGCGGGGTTCTCGGGCTCGGCCATGGCGTACCACCCGTTCCACGCGCCCCGGCCCTCCGACTTCCCCATGTCCGCCTTCCTGGCCGCCGCCCAGCCCTCCTTCTTCCCGGCCCTGGCCCTCCCGCCCGCCGCCGCCGCCGCCGCCGCCGCCCTGGCCAAGCCGCTGCCCGAGGCCGAAGCCGGGCTCCACGTCTCGGCCGCCGCCCTGGCCCACCACGCCCACGCCCACCACCCGCACCACCCACCCTCCGCCGCCGCTGCCCACCTGCGAGGGCTCAAGGGCCTCGAGCCCCCCGAGGAGGAGCTGGGCGCCGAGGACGACCCCAAGGTCACCCTGGAGGCCAAGGAGCTCTGGGACCAGTTCCACAAGCTGGGCACCGAGATGGTCATCACCAAGTCCGGCAGGTAAGGAAGGGAAGGAAGGAAGGAAGGAAGGAAGGAAGGAAGGAAGGAAGGAAGGAAGGAAGGAAGAGAAGGAAGGAAGGAAGGAAGGAAGGAAGGAAGGAAGGAAGGAAGGAAGGAAGGAAGGAAAGAAGGAAGGAAGGAAGGAAGGAAGGAAGGAAGGAAGGAAGGAAGGAAGGAAGGAAGGAACGGAAGGAAGGAGAGAAGGAAAAGAAAGGGAGAGAAGGAAGGAAAGAAAGAAGGAATTAAGGAAGGAAGGACAGAAGGAATCAAAGAAGGAAGGAATCAAAGAAGGAAGGAAGGAAGGAAGGAAGGAAGGAAGGAAGGAAGGAAGGAAGGAAGGAAGGAAGAGGAAGGAAGGAAGGAAGGAAGGAAGGAGAGAAAGAATCAAGGAAGGAAGGGCCTCCCTCAAGTTTCCCTTTGGGGCCAGGCGCACCCGGGCAAACCCATTGGGAGCAGCTTAGAAGAACTCCTATTCCAAAGCTACCCAAAGCAGACCCAGTTCGGGACTGGTTTCCCATTGCATCACACCTTGAGTGGGTCCTCTAGTTGGGACAGACACTAATAATAATAATAATAATAATAGGGCTAAGGGCCTCCCTCGGTCACCCACTGGGGCCAGGCGCACCCGGGCAAATCCATTGGGAGCTGCTTAGAGGGAGAAGTAGAATCCCCGGAACTCCTCTTCCTGACCTACCCAAAGCAGACCCACGCCACGACTAGTTTCCCATTGCATCCCACCTTGAGTGGGTCCTCTAGTTGGGACAGACACTAATAATAATAATAATAATAATAATAATAATAATAATAATAATAATAAGGGCCTCTTTTAGGCGCCCCCGGGCAAAGCCATTGGGAGCTGCTTAGAAGGAGAAGTAGAGTCCCGAAACTCCTGTTCCTGACCTACCCAAAGCAGACCCACTTCGGGACTGGTTTCCCATTGCATCACACCCTGAGTGGGCCCTCTAGTTGGGACAGACACTAATAATAATAATAGTAATAGTAATGGCTCTAATTCTAGACCTATCCAAAGCCGACTGAGAAGAGGTCCAAGAATAAGAATACTCTAAATTCTAATTCTAGACCTACCCAAAGCAGACTGATTTAGGAACCGGTTTCCCATTGTGTCACAACTTGGATGGGTCCTCTATTTGGGGCAGCCACTAAATAATATTAATGACAACAATAATAGTAAGAATAGCTCTAATTCTACATCTACCCAAAGCCGACTGAGACTAGGTCCAAGAATAAGAATGATCTGAACTCCTACGCCAGACCTTCTCAAAGAAGACCCAGTTTGGGACTGGTTTCCCATTGCGCCACACCTTGAGGGGGTCCTCTAGTTGGAACAGACACTACTACTACTAATAATAAATTTGTTTATCGTGTCAGAAGTGAGTTAAATGCATTTAAAAACACACAAAGTTTGAAAAAAGAGCTTGGCATGATGCGAAATGCCCTTTGAGTAGAAGCTGGCCACTTGGAGTGCCTCTGGTGTTGCTGTGAGAAGGTCCTCCATTGTGCAAATAATAATAATAATAATAATAATAATAATAATAATAATAATAATAATAATAATAATATAAACACTAATTCTAGACCTACTCAAGCAGACCCACTTCAGGACTGGTTTCCCATTGTGCCACACCTTGAGTGGGTCCTCTGGTTGGGACAGACACAAATAATAATAATAATAATAATAATAATAATAATAATAATAATAATAGCTTTAATTCTAGACTATCCAAAGCCGACTGAGAATAGGTCCAAGAATAAGAATTCTAGACCTACCCAAAGCAGACTGATTTAGGGACTGGTTTCCCATTGCACCACACCTGGAGTAGGTTCTCTGGTTGGGACAGACACTAATAATAATAATAATAATAATAATAATAATAATAATAATAATAATAATAACAATAGCACCAATTCTAGACCTACCAGAATAGGTCCAAGAATAGGAATAATCTGGACTCCGGATCAGTCCTTTGGACTCCGTGCAAAGTATATAAACTGTGATGGTATATAAATTCTAAAAGTTTACTAGCCTTCTGGTTATATTTACCATCCATAGAGGTATGAGTAGTTTCAAAAAATATCATCCAAATCTAAAACTAAGGGTTGCAAAAGGCCTTCTGAAGCATTTCCAATCCTGGTCCATTGAAGTCCCCATATATAAGGATCAATGCCTTGGGAGCTTTCGAATTTCACCTTGAGTAAGTCCTCTAGTTGGGACAGACACTCATAATGATATTGATGACATTATTATTATTATTATTATTATTATTATTAATAATAATAATAATAATAATAATAGCTCTAATTTTAGACCTACCCAAAGCCAACTGAGAATAAAAATGATCTGAACTCTAATTCTACACCTATCCAAATCAGACTTGACCTAGGGGTTGTTTTCCCATTCGGTTACACATTGAATAGGTCCACTAGTTGCGACAGTTACTACTACTAGTAGTAATAATCTGAGCTCTGATTCTCAATTTATCCAAAGCAGACTGATTTAGGGACTGGTTCCCCATTCGGTCACACATTGAATAGGTTCACTTGTTAGGACAGCTGCTACTACTAGTAGCAGTAGTAGTAATCATTTCAGCTCTAATTCTCGATTTACCCAAAGCAAACTGATTTAGGGGTTAGTTCCCTATCCGGTCACACATTGAATAGGTCCACTCATTGCGACAGTTACTGCGACTAGTAGTAGTAATCTGAGCTCTAATTCCCGACCTACCCAAAGCAGACTGATTTAGGGACTGGTTCCCCATTCGGTCACACATTGAATGGCTCCACTAGTTGGAACAGCTACTACTACTAATAATAATAATATGAGCTCTAATTCTCGACCTACCCAAAGCAGACTGATTTAGGGATTGCTTTCCCATTCCGTCACACATTGAATAGGTCTACTCATTGCGACAGTTAGTAGTAGTAGTAGTAGTAGTAGTAATCAGAGCTCTAATTCCCGACCTACCCAAAACGGATTGATTTAGAGACTGGTTCCCCATTCAGTCACACATAGAATGGCTCCATTAGTTGGACAGCTACTACTACTACTACTACTTATTATTATTATTATTATTATTATTATTATTATCTGAGCTTTAATTCTCGACCTACCCAAAACAGACTGATTTAGGGACTGGTTCACCATTTGATCACATATTGAATGGCTCCACTAGTTGGAACAGGTACTACTCCTACTTATTATTATTATTATTATTATTATTATTATTATTATTATCATCTGACCTCTAATTCCCGACCTATCCAAAGCAGACTGATTTAGGGATTGCTTTCCCATTTGGTCACACATTGAATAGGTCCACTCTGCTGGGGGGTCCACAAATCACCTAAACTCCAGTTTTAAACTTCCCCAAAGCAAACCGACTTCAGTTTTGGTTTCACACCCGACCTGTAGTAGGAATCATACTATTTGATACCTGATTGCCATTGTTAGCGCTACCTGAGCAGACTTTTGTGTCGGTTTCCCACCCAACTGTTCTATCAATGAGCCCACTAGTTGGGACAGTCAATAATAGTAGCAATAATAATAATAATAATAATAATAATACCTGGATTATTTTGGGAGACCTACTCAAAGCAGACTGACATATGGATTGGCTTCCCGTGCAGACATTCATTGAATGAACCCGCTAGTTGGAACAGCCAATAATAATAATAATAATAATAATAATAATAATAATAATAATAATAATAATAATAATTGTGTTGGGAGATCTACCTAAGGGTGACTAACTTAGGTGTTGATTCCCGATAGATCCACTAGACGGGAGAGCTAAAAGCAGTAGTAATTCTCGTAGTAAATCGTGATAATTCTATTGCTAGACCTACTCAAAGCAAGAGTAGTTTATTATGATGTGGATTTTCTCAGTCATTGAATGGGTCTCATAGTTGGGGGATCCACCCACAGCAATAATAATACTAATAATACCAGTAATGATAATATTATTATATTAATTATAATTTATTGATTGATTTCGTGTCAAAAGCATCGCATAAATTAGTACAAAACTGATGAAAATAGAAGGAACACAGTCGGCTAAATATCTTCAGACCAAAAAGAGGAATTGTCTCTTCCTCTGTACATGAGGCAGGACATTGCGGACAAGCATACAGATGCAGAGTTAATAAGAATAATATAGTCTTTATACTACTATTAATAATTATTATTATAATTAATTTGTATTAATTAATAATAATATAGCCTTTGTACTACTATTAATAGTAATATCAACAATATCTATTTATTATGATGATTAATTAATAATAATATAGTCTTTATACTAATAATATATAAAATAGCCTTTATACTATTAATAGTAATAATAATATAGCCGGTGGCTTTGTCAAGGAAGCATCTATAGTATATCTGTCCTTGGTCTCCCCCATCATATTTACCCAGCCATTCATTCAGATTGAAAACCTTGCAACCCTCGAAAATAGGGGCGTAAATGCCCTTTGATCACCTTCCAAAGTCTCCCCATAACATTATATACAGATATATATATATAGATAGATAGATAGACAATTATATTTATTTTCCTCCCTTTCCACCATTATACACACAAACATACATACATATATATACATTGATAACCCTCCAAAGTCTCCCCATACTGTTAACATTACAACAAATATATTCCAAGATAATTATATTTATTTTCTCCCTTTCCACTATTATATATATATAATACATATATAATACACACACACACATATATTTACATTAATAACCTTCCAAAGTCTCCCCATAACATTAAAAAAATATATTTCAAGATAATTATATTTATTTTCTCTCTTTCCACCAATATATATATATGTGTGTGTGTGTGTTATAGGGAGCCTTTGGAAGGTTATCAATATATGTATGTGTATGTTGTATGTGTGTATAGGTGGAAAGGAAGAAAATAAATATAGTTATCTTGAAATTTTTTTTGTGTGTTATGGGGAGACTTTGGAAGGTTATC